ACTAGATTGAAGAACAAAAAAAAAATGACAGCAACTTGTCTGTTCCCCTTCCCCCAATTCCCCAGCACTGTTCCCATCCCCCCAATTCCCCAGTAAAAAAAAATCTTTAAAAAAAAAAGCAGTTTTTTCTAATTTTCCTTAAGTGAGTAATGAAGTCTAGTTACGTGAACAAACAACTGACTGCTTTAGTTCTACATTTCCAACTGCTAGACACGTCATCATAGCTTGCAGTTCCATTGTCACTGTAGACTTGACTTCTGAAACTTGAATACACACTAGCTTTTCTCCCAGGTCCACATCCCTTCTTAACTTTCCTCTTTTTGTGTATAGTGTAATTCTTTCAGTCTGCAAAATCTATGCATTTTACTTTATCTTTGGTATTGAGTCCTAATGTGTTGTATGTATGTTTTTTTAAATTTGTTTAACCTTTATATTTCTCTCAGTTTTCTGTCTAAGCTTTCTCATCTATTTTTAGATTTAAAAAAAATCTTATATTAGTGGAAATTCAGAGAAAGAAACTACGGTTTTGTTGGGGTGAACTTGTTTTTTTTCTAATTTTCTTTAACACTTTGTAAGCGGGCATTTTCCCGCCAAATCGCGTCGTAACAAAGAGGTCTCTATACCTGAGTTAACTCGTCTGCGCTTTGGTATAAAAAGCGCTATGGCGAGTTTACTCGTTTCCCGCAATGTGTTAATATTGTTTTATGACTAAAAATTTAAGAGCTCCTCATGTCATTCTAAAACCCAGTGTTGCAGTTTTGGCATCCATACTAAATGTAACTCTTCTGCTTGTCTCTCAAGGCAGTTAATAATGTGGTCTTACCTCATGTGTCTGTATTTCTCTCCAGCTCTTTCCTAACAGGTTCCTTCCCTGCCAGGCACTTAGTGCCTCCCCACGTGCATCACACCTCTTTCTACTCCTGTGTCCTTCCCCTCCGCCAGACAGGTCCTGTTCAACTAAGTCACCTCCACAGTGAGGCATTTTCTTTTGCTCTGATCTTCATTGATCTCTCTTTTCTTTTTGGGTTTTTGAGAACATTGTAGATTTAAATTCATACTATTTTCCAATCATTCGATGTGTCTTGGTTCTGTCTTTTCCAAATAGTTTATAAGCGTTATGAGCATAGAATGCCTGTATTTTTAGCCGTGTCATTTGACTTCTTTGTATTGAGTTGGCTCTCAGATGTAGACTAATTGATTAATGGGAAGGAGTTATGCAATTGGGTATTGGCAGAAAAGTGAGCCCAGAAAATGAAGACTTTTCAAAATATGTATTCAAAAATAGGCTGATTTATATTGCAAATGTCTGTCTATATAGTGCAGCCACATTCCAAGTTAAAATTTTGGATTTCCATTTTTGAAAGAGATTATTTAATCTCTTAATTTTTCTTTAATTTCTTAATCATCTATACTAATCTGTTTCATTTCTTATACTTGAAATATCAGAGTTTAAGAAGGCTCATTTTATTACTGAAATTAATGGTTTTCTGTTCTTTCTGTAGTTTTTATTTATGGAACTCTTTAAATTTTTTTTATAATTTATTTGGCATTATCTTACCTGTATTTCTTAAAAGACACAGATTATTGGTATTGTATTTTTAATTAATTGAGAACTTCTAACAAGGCAATAACTAAGTGATTTATCTGAGACTACACATATTTATTAAACTGAGCCCTTTTTCTTGATTTCAATACAGAATTCTTCCCTTTTTAAGGAGGGCATAGCTCCAAGTGGCCCATGCAGGGATGGAACCCAACTGGTAACTTTGTTGTTCAGAGCACGCGCTCTAACCAACTGAGCCACCTGTCTGTCCTCAATACTGTATTCTTTGTATTAACTTTATTCATAGGTGATATTCTGTGTAAGAGCCATAATCTTAACAGAGGTAGAATGAAAGTAGTATCAATAAATACATCAGATCATAAAATGAATTTCATGTTTCTAATACACCCATAGGACTGAGATGACTCTCTGCTTTGGGTCAATTTGGGTTACTGTCTTTCACCTAGCTTCCTTGGGTTTTGCTATTTTAAATAAAAACTGGACAGTAGCTGATTAATTTTACCTGCCCCACCATATGCACACACCTTTCTCTTTGTATTGGGTTGTCAGAAAAGTCATGATATATTTTTTCTGTTTTTCGTTGCAAAAATGCGTCATGACTTTTCCGACAACCCAATATTTGATGAGTTCATAGGGCAGAGTTTTCTTCTTCTCTTTAAATGGATCAGTCATTGGCTTTTGCAGGCAGGTTGATAATTCATTCCAGACCTGCTACTTTTAATTACGAAGGGAAGCATAGTTGGCTATTCTGTCCACCAGCCAGTTGCTATAGGGAATGGTTGCCTAGTATGGTGGACTTTGTCCTTCATGATAACCACATTTAAGAAGCTGAATTTATGTCTTGAGAATGCAAGTAAACCACTTGAGAATGCCATTTGGCTGATTAAAGGCAAATGGATAGACTTGATTATCAGCAGAGAGAATTATCAGTAGACAAGGAGATTTGCTGTTTTGCAGATAGAGTAGAGGAAATGTTTTCAGTGCAGAAAAGAACATTTGAAATGATGATGAAATCCATTAGCGATTCAGAATACTTGTATGACTATCTTATTTTTTATTCATGTTATTCATTACACATTATAATTAAACACCAATATTGTTAAAATCATCTCTATTTTGAACTTAGGTGATTTCCCTAATAATTCACTTAAGGGACATGATTTCTAAGTATCTTAACATACTGTAATATACTGTTCAAACTTAAAAATTCTTGTATTTTGCACTACATTATAAGCTTTTTGAGGGAAGGGCTCTTGTTTTCTTTTTTTTATTTTTGTTTTCTCCTCTTTGTATATTCCTTTAGCTGAGCAGGATGCCTTGTGTGTATTTCAGTACATGCATTTTGAAGGATGACTTCTTATTAAATTAATATACACATTCCTTAGGACTTGTTCTTCTGGTAATACATTATAATAGATATGAGAGTTGGAAAAGACTTCAGTCTGATAGTAAAATTGTAATCTACAGTCTATGCAGCATATCAGGAGGTTTTTCTTGAATATATTGACTTAACCATTGATTTTCATTAAACCATTGTAATATGGCAAAGAATTAATTATATGGAAATCAAATGCTGTGTCTTTTTTTCTTTTATATGGAAGCCCAAGGAGAAACCACTTCACAGCTTCAATCAGAAATTTCATCGGATGAGCAAGTAGATGTTCTTAACATAAATACAGTTCAACCAGAAAAGATTACAGTGGCTCAGAAAGATCCTGCTGAGAACTCCATTGTCAACTGTGACTCCCAGGCCTTAAATCTGTTAGCTGATCTAGCATTAAGCGCTGCTTCCTCTACCACACCGTCCCCTGAGCCCAGAAACCTTCCCTACTCTTCTGAATTACCACAAAACGATGTTTTGCTTTCTCAAGAATATTCCCTGAGCAGTGCATCTGACCATGAATATCATAGAGGATCTAAAAGTCAAAAAGGTGGACTGTTACCTGAGCCTTCCTCTGAGAAAAGTAATTTGACATCAGACTCCACTGTCAGCCAAGAGAAGGAGAGCTTGGCTCCTGGCAGTCAGGCCCCTGTGCAAGCTCAGTCGGCACTTCCTGAGGAAACACTAGAGACCAGCGGTGCAAGCCAGAGCTCTTTTGTTGCTGTGGAGCATTCGTATGCCCTGCTTCTTGCAGAGCATTCAAAGAAGCTTCTACAGCAGAGAGGGGTACCAGGCCCTGCTTTTGCCAAGAATGGCACAAAAGGCCCAGACGCAGGAACCCCAGTGGGAAAAGTAATGCCATTTCGGCATCAGCAGAACACCTCCCCTTTGCAGAAGCTTTCTGAGGTCCCGCTACTCAGGCGTAAGAGCAGGTTGCTCTCCCCTAGCCTGAGAGACTCTTACTGCTCTCATACCGTGTTCAGCTGTGACGGCTCCTTTAAGGTCACTATCAAATGTGAGACAAACTATGTATTCAGCTTAGACAGCAAATATACCAACAACCCACTGGAGAAAACTGTACTAAGAGCATTACATGGGTGAGTAGTAGTGACACTTGATGAAAACGGAGGTAAATTTCCTATTGAGATAAGCGTAGTAAGCAGGGAGGCTTGTGCCAAGCTTTGGGGGGAGGAAAGAGCAGTAGTGTTTGTAAATCCAGTGATTCGCTAATAATTCAGTTGTGTTTACTGACAGTAAAGACTGTGAGGCTGGTTTTCCCACTGTTTAGCTGTGATCACATGGAGAACTTTTGCAAGATAACTAGCCTTCTGAATGGCTTTCCATTTTGCGATGCTCCTTTATAATAAGCCTTTGCAGTCTTTGAATTATAATATTTAAATGCAATCATAATGTAAAATAGTGAGATACAGAAATAATGCTTTACAGACTGAATTCCAGAAGAAACACTGAAAGAATTACTTCTAGCTTGTGGAATTACCAGTTTGTTATGAGTGAGCAATTTTACATGGAGTTGTTCTATAAATCACCCTTAACAAGGGGTCAAGGCAGTAACAGCAGAGCCGCAGAAAATGCAGGCTCTCGGGTGTGGTTTTGATCTGGGTTCTCCCACTTACTAGCTTCTGTGACCCGGAAATCCCTGTGCTTCAGGATAGTGCTCCTCTATCTTTTTGTGTGCACAACTCATCCAGGGATCTCACTGATTGCACATTCTGACTCAGTCTGTTTGGGATTGGGCCTGAGAATGTACATTTCCAGGTGATTCCACTGGAGCACTACACATTTTTAATGGTGGGATTTAGCAGTAGCTACATTATGAGATTGTTACATACATAAGGGTTTTGCATAGTGGTACATACCAATAAATGGTAACCATTACTATTAGCAGGAAGCATTAGATGTATGAAATAATACTGAGCTGCCTGTTAGTCAAATATTTCCATGTGAGTGACTAAATTGTGTCAGGTTTTTTTCCCTGCTCCAGTTACGAGCTCACACTCATAGGAGCATATATTTATATTCCCATCTACTCATGAAGGTCGTTTCTTTCACCTTAATCCTGTTTAATTGAAGGCTAGCTCTGTAGCCCCTCTAAACTCATCTCACTCCAGCTGTCTGCTATCCTTTTGCCTGGCAGATGGCTAGAAATGTTTTGTACCTCCCCTTTTGGTTTCAGAAGATTTTCAAGAACTGTAATCTGAAATAATATAGTTCTGCTGAATTGCCCACAGAGATATGTTAATGTTCAGATGTTCCCACCTATTAAAAGAGAGATACAAAAATAGAAATGAGTAGGCCAGACTTAGCAGAAGCAAGGATATAAGGATTTGTGCAGTTGCTGAAACCATTATCCACATACTAGGTATATTATGTCCAGGAGAGTTTGCATGTTATCAAAGAAAAATCCCAGATTAGGAGTTAGGAGACCTGTGTTTCAATCATGGTTCTACTACTTTCAGTTCCCTTCTTTGTCTCCATAAAACACATAAGTTAGGTTCAATGTAATTATTTGTTAAATCAACTTCATTTTTATCTTATTCATTGTTTCATGTTTGTGTGATTTCTAAAATAAAAATGAACACAAAAACTAAGTTTAATAATGAAGGCACTTGCTTATAAGATAAGATAATCAACTAAAATAACCGTTTTCAATGATTTTGTGTGTTCTTTAAAACCTCAGACCCTGGAACACTGATTTACCTGATAACTTGGAAGAAGTGAAGCTTTTACTTCATATGTGGATAGCCCTGTTTTACAGTAATCAAAGCAAAGTCATACGATCATCCCGGAAAGTGGTAGAACACAGCAACCCTGCCAAATACGTGTCTCTAAATCGCAGGGTAGAATCTTTTGAATTCAGTGAAATTGAGGAGCCACCCAGCGTGGAAATGTGTTCTGTAGGCCCTTTGCTGGAGACAAAGGAAGCTCCCAGAGGTCCGAGTGCTGAAGTGTCCTTCCCTGACACTCACTCCTTGCTGCCTTTCATTAAACCACAACCTGCAAGAGGTTTGGAACTCTGGGTACAGAATGAACAGAAAGAAATTTTTGCAAGAGAGGGTTATCCAGTTAACCCAGAAAGCAAGAATTTCATCTACTCCTGTAATAATGAGGTAAGTAAAGCTGAATACTATAAACTGTGACGTTATTGCTGAAGAAATGTTTTCTTTGTATGTAAAATCACTCAAAGCAAGTCATTGGTTTCTTTTAGGAAAGTGTATTATCTAGCTTTGTGAAGGATTATAATGCCAAAAACTTAGTTTTCACAAGTGTCGCTCTAGACTGTGTGATTGAAGAAACAATTAGAAAAAAATTGTAGAGGTCAGATGATCTGGGAGCCAACCATGATTGTGTCACTTATTTGTTGTATAATACCTGTTCTCTCTGAGCTTATTTTTCTTATAAAAGAAGCGAATAATACCTATCATGTCTTACCTAGAATAGTGTTTAAGGATCAGATGTGGTAATATTAGAAATCAAAGTAAATTAAAATTGAATATATTAAAATTATTTTTGAAAATATACTGGAACACTAAATGAAATGTCAGACCGATTACAGGTCTATAGATAACTATTTGGAAATATTGAAAATACATTTTGTTTCATTCCATTGTTCTCAAATGATATTCTGCTAGGCCGGATAATTATATTTTAACTGGAGCAAATAAAAAAGTTGTATCAAGATTTTAAGTAAATGGATTGACATACCTGCCTTTTTAAGATTTTGACCCAGATTTATTCCAGAATAATTTTGTATGGGTTTGGGCACTTACAATGCCTGTCTTCACATTGAGTAGACACTGTTTCTATACCTGGGGTTACTTGTGGATTTGCAGTCCAGAGGTGAGCCTCAGGGATCTGTGAATGTCTCCAGGTGCTCTGCTTCATCATCATAATGGAGACTGATGGAAGTGCTGTGGACCAGATAGTGGTCTGAGCCTTTGTTCACGTTAACTCAGTTAATTCTCACACAATCAGATGCGGTAAGGACCATTCCTCCCCATCTTATAGAGGGAGAAACTAAGGAATAGAGAAGTACAGAAATTGTTAGTAACTTGTCAGGCAGGATTCATATCTGTGTAGATGTTTCTCAGAGTCAAATTCTGTGTGTGTGTGTGTGTGTGTGTGTGTGTGTGTGTGTGTGTACATTATGTGTGTTTATATGTGTATACATACATATAATCTATGTATGTATGTTTGTGGTTTTTCTCCCAATGGGGTTCAAAGATTTCATTTGATTCTCAGAAATACATAAAATCCTGATAATAATTACTACCTTAGAATAAGAAAATATTTATAATTTAGGCTGCTTTTGATTACTACTTATATGCCGGGGGTGCAAAAAAAATGTATACACATTTTAAAAGATGTTATCTATGTATTTTCAAAGCTGAATTATGGTAGCAGTGTGTAGTATGACATTCGCTCAAAAGATGGTGTTAATCAAATGAATGCTAGCGTCACCATGTGACAGGCAGGACAGTCAAAGAAAATGGTGGAAGCGCTGTTGTTCAAGGAAGCACAAGACCATTTTGAAGTAGTATTTGAAATTCAAGAACGCTTTGGAAGTACAGCAGTGGAGGTATGATATGCAATAGAATCTCCAGAACGCCTAACATCTACATGCATTTGTTGTAAGTTTGAGATGCATGGTCCTATGTGTGATGTGCACAAGGGAAGATCCGGGATGCCTTGCACAGCAACAAGTCCTGCTGCTTCTGCTGTGGTATTAGGACAGTTTACACACTCACCACAGAAGTCTACCACACAATCTTCGCCATAATCAGAAGTGTCTAGATCAGCGGTTCTCAACCTTTCACAGGGGTCGCCTAAGACCATCGGAAAACACATATTTTCGATGGTATTAGGAACCGAGACACCACTTCTCTATCCATCTCCAGGCCCACATGCAGATACGCCCACATATGAGTACCCGGCAACCCCTGTGAAAGAGTCGTTTGACCCCCAAAGGGGTCGCGACCCACAGGTTGAGAACCGCTGGTCTAGATGCTGATGGTAACCACTTTGAGCACCTCTTGTAATTGCAGAAGTCAAACGTGACTTGTATTCATCTTTTGTTATCAGTATATATTATTACAATTTTAATACAGTTTTTTCCTTCCTTAAAATGTATATACATTTGTGCACCCTCTGTATATACTGGTTTCTTATAAAGTATTTTTTGTTGTGGTAATACATAATTTAACTATCATCAGTACTGATTTTAGGAATGATCTTTTGCAAACATGAAATAGGATACTGTGCCTATACCTTAAAGCACACACACATGTGCTATACCACCCTTATTCTACAAGTGGGCAAACTAGGATGTGAAGGGAATTCAAGCACAGTGGGCATTAGAAATCAATGTGTTTTAGTCATGTGTTTAATTTGGCATTCTTTTAGAAACATTACACTTTACCTGTAGTAAACAATATGTATATATCAGTCTAAACATACCAAGATTACCACAATTTTCATTTCATTAAGACCACAGGCATGGTGAGATTTGGGGCTGTGGTCAAACAGTAACAGCCACGATGTGATGGGAGGGTCACGGGAAAGTTCTCAGGAAGACTCTTAGCATCAAGACTTTTCTGTGCTTTGTGCTGGCCACTGGTGTCCCCTTAAAACTCTGTGTCTCAGCTCCACCCTGCCAAATCACTCGGCTCCTAATCTTTGTTCAGTTAAGACGGAAATGTTTTTAACGAGATTTGATAACACAGGTCCTGACTTCTCACGTGATTATTTCAAGACATGGCAGGAAATCTGTGCCGCAGTGTTCCAGAAATTACAGGCATATAGTCAATTGTATGATCAATCCATTTTACTATTTTCTGGACAAGACCATGCTTCAGCCTTTTAAAAAAAGGCCAAAACAACCTGTTTATATGAGGATATCAAAATTATCCAGAGGTATTTCTGCTGTTTAACCTAAATCCACATTCACCGCCATTTCTTTTGGTTGAGTTTATTCATACAAACTGCACTATGCTTTCTTGTTCTCTGTTGACTAGGAGGCATTACAATGAGAGAGAAATTATCTCCAGTTATAAGCAAAGACGATAGCTAAGGAATAAGGGACGTTCATTTACCAGAATGGAGATTGTTACCGTGGAGAAACTGCTAATCATTGTATTCTGAGTACAAGAGAGAGTAATTAATCTATTTCCTTATGAGAAAGTTCCAGATGACAGTGTATTAATAGTCTAAGTGAAAGCTGGTATTTAAAATAAGTTATTCTTTGCTTAAAACATTATCTTTCAATCTTACTAAAAACAAAATTGAGTACTTTTCCCTAGAGCTGCATTTCTGAATTAAGTGATGGTCTTTTAGCAAACAGGCTGCATTTTCAAGTCTTTAAATTGTCAGTGGTCTAGATACTTTTCTTCCCAAAAGTCCATTAAAAAAAATAGGCTGTGCAATTAGAAAGTTTGGGACTACTCATCTATGTGTTGTATGTTTAAAGAATACACATTCCTATTGGAGGGTATTTTAAGCCTAACAAGAGAGGGTTGCTCTGCTTTATCTGTACCCTGTTATAGTCTTATGGATTAGATTCAAAAGGACAAACTAAAATTAATCCTTGTCTGTTCTTCACATATATAAATGTTTTTTAAAAAAATAATCTCTTTTATTTTTTAACTTTTGTCATTGCAGATAATTGTGGGAAAAGAACAAGAATCATCAGATAAACTAGAGACTTCTAATCTTGTGCTTTCTAGTATTAGAAGTACCCAAACTAATGGACCTTGTATTCCTGGTAAAGAGAAAACCTTTGAGCCACTTGATAGTACAAGAATGACTTCTTACGATCAACAATCCACAACCATTGATGAGATCAGCAATCAGTCGGTGATTTGTCAGAAATCTGTGTATAGCACCCTTCACAGCAAAGTTGATACTTTTCATGCAACAGCGCAAGCAAAAACAAAGGGTTTACAGGGCCTTAGCCAGCATAACAGCCCCATAAACAAAGAAAGTCAGCCTTCATTGGAAAGGAAGGATGATATGGGGTATGTAATGATTAATCTGGAACCGGTTACTCTCACTTTTGAAAAAAATGCCTGTGTACCATTACAGACAGAAGTTGTAAACAAAGCTGATAAACCTACAACCTTTAATGCGGAGTTGATTAAACAGGTATCACCTGGTACAAGCCTTAGAAATCCTGTGTCCACATTTGAAAAGGCACAAACACAAGGTCTTAAGGACATTTCATCTCTAGCAGTGTCAGGACAAAAAGGCACTAAGTACCTCTGTGCCTCCTCAGTAAGTGGGGAGACACTTGGTAACGAAATGTGTTCGTTACAGGAGGAGATTTCTGTTCCAGGCTCGATGTCTCCATCTGTGAATTCAGTGGCAAAGGCGGCATTACCATTAGTTACAAGTTCTAATTATTCACTATCCAGAAAAGAGATGAAAATCTCTCAGGAATTTTTTCTGCAGCCTGAGACTCTCTTTAGCATTCCTTCAGAAGAGATCATGGAGCCATCGCAAGCTGAAGAAGTGGTGTCATCGTCAGCCTCTGCCACCTTGGAACAAAATGACTTACTTAACTGTACTCCATCAATAAGTAATACATCAGATTGCTCTTTAGAATTAAAGAGTGACAAGAGCAGTCTAAAGAGTGACAATAGGAATTTTGAATCATTTAATTCAGCATTTACCAAACCAACCAGCCAATCTATAAATGGAGAGATCAGCCTAGAGTTAGAGGAAGATTCCGACATTGACCTAACTCTCACGATATCACCACCTACAAGTCCCAGAGAAGAAATACCTGCTGGTGAAATAGAGCAACATCAGGAGGCCCCATTATCAAATTTGGCACTCCAGGATATGGATGAAGATATAATTGACCCAGAAGAGGTGACTTTGGTAGAAAACAGAGAAGTAAATTCTGTTAAATATACGTCAGTGCTTCCCGCAGTGTCTGAGAAACCATTAGACAATAAGGAGAGGAAAGCTGATAACTTACAAATGGTTACTTTAATACTTCCTAAAGAAACTTGCACCCTTGAGATTGCAGAAGTTAATGTTCCCTCAAACTTTCCCTTTGGTTCTTTAATTGAAGAAGTGTCACCAGCTTCTAGTCCTGACCCTCAAGTACCAGTTGAAGAAACACAATCATCTCAGTCTGTGTCTCCATGCAGTTTAAAACTTCCTAATACACAATGTGAGAAAAGTAACAAATTCTCCCAGATTGGGTCAGATTTGGCCATAACAGAAAAAGAAAATTCTTTGGTTGGCCCTACCCATTCAGTGGGGGATAATACCTTAACTCAGGTTCAGCAAATGAAACTTTCTGCTGAAGTGCCTCTAGTATTAAATAATCATCCAGGAAGAAAAGATAGACATTTAACCTTTCCAGGTAAAGTAACTGAGGAAACTCGCCCAAACGAGAATAATGAGAGTTTCTCTTTCTCAGAAAAGGTGCCATGCTGGGATACAGAGTTAAACCATCCTGCTGTAACTGCCAGTTATGAAGCTGACTTCAAGACTTCTGTAGAAAAACTGGTAACATCAGGAAATCCGTTGCAGCCAATTAGTATAGAGAACAGAAATTTGAACTTAAAACATCTTGCCTTGGAGACTAGTGAGTCTCGATTTAGTCCTAGAGAGATTATGGAAAATAAGTCTTCAGTTGACACGTTTGTTTCCCCAACTGCACATGGTACAGTGAACTTGCCATTAAAACAGCAGACTAGTCCTAAAAGCATTAAGAAAAGTCTCTCTAGCAGTGAGTTGAAAACAAATGAAAGTAGTTCCCTGCAAGCTCAGTCCTTGAGCTCTGATTTGGTTGATGGAGCTGGTGTTACACAAGCACTCATGTACTCAGAGGTCCCCAAACTTGCTTTTTCCTCGGGTAGTGGTACTGTGACCCATTGTGCAAGACCTGTAAACACAGAGACACGGTTTCAAACACAGGAAATACCAGTAGTCAGAATGGCCAGTTTGCTTAAGAATAGTGAAACTGAAGCTGGGTTACATGAAAAAACCATAGATCTAGGAAGTGTGGGCTCTCAGTTAAACACTACATCTCCACGAGGCAAACAAAAACCCATCCACAGGCTGCAAGATATCTCGGCATGTGACTCAAAGGATCTGTTGAACGGCGGGCTTTCCCCCATGTATTTCCATGCTGATTCTCACCAGAACACCAAAGTCACTAATGAAAATACCAACAAAGACCCTTCTGCTTTCATTGTTGCCAAATTGTGCAACCCTTTGGTTTGTGGAGTCCCTCAAGAGCAGATGGGAAAGAAGAACACAGGTGAGGGGCTCAGGGCCGAGGAGGACTCTGAAACCCTAGGTGGGAACATGGATATCAGTGTGAATTCTAACATCTGTTATGAACCACTTTCCGGAGACTCTGATCAAGACACTCTTGGTGATTGTAGAAATCTTAAATTAGACATGGAGGGTTCCTGCACTTTGCGATGTAGTCACACCAAGAAAAGGGAAGGTGCTACACAAGATTATGACTCTTTCTTGGGGCTAAACAATAGTGATAATGAAGATTGGAGCTGCTCTAATCAAGTTACAGGGCTGGAGACCAGCAAACCTCCCAGAAACTGGTCCGGTGGGTTAAAGAGAGAAGATTGTGTGCCATGTTACATCCAAATCAGAGATTGCCATGGTCTCCCCAGGACTTACACTAACTTTACTGTAACTAAAGAGCTCAAACAGACCAGTCAAACTTCACACAGCCTCAGGAAGCACCCCAGTGTGACTGCAAAATGTGGCTTGGTCAGCTCCTGGACAGACACTTGGCAGGTGGCAGGCAACCTTACCCAGAACACTTTAGATCTGGAATGTTTGCGTTTTGAACATAAACTGAGACAAATTGTAAAGAAGGGGGGTTCTCAGCATTCCGCCTCTTCCACCAGTGAGTCTCTGAAGGAGTCTCCTCTCCCTTTGACAAAAGCAGCCGAGTCCTCAATTCTGTGCCCTGCACCCCGGAGAAGTCCCCTTGTGGTCACAGTCATGCACTCAGACACCAGACAGTGGAGTCAGCACCTGACAGGCCACACGCCGAACAATTTGGACAGTTCTTCCCTTTGGAAGGAAAGATGTGATCACAGTAGAAATCATCTTACAAATTCTGAAAGAAATCAGACTGCTTCATTCCACCTCAACAAACTAAAATATAATAGCACTTTGAAAGAATCCCGGAGTGATATTTCACTTATTCTCAATGAAGATGCTGAATTCAACAAGGTGATGATGAATAGCAACCAAGTTCTTTTCCAAGATAAGGGGTCAGATGTTGCTTCTGGAGAAGCTGCATCTCAAGAGATGTATTCATCTTCCCCAAAGACACCCTCCTATGAAGACATGATTACAGACTTCTGTACCAGCTTGCACGTCAAACTGAAAAGTGTTGTGACAGAGGCTTGCAAAAGTACCTTCCTGTTCTACCTCGTTGAGACAGAAGACAAATCTTTCTTTGTGAGAACAAAGGTAAGCTGCCAGGTCTTAACAGTTTATTATTTTCATCGTCATCTAATTTTAGCTTATTTTAAAAGTAATTTAGCATTCTTGGCTTCAGAAAGAAATCATGTAGGAAGCAGTATTTGGGTTGCACAGCTCCGTCTTTATCTGCATACTAAATGTTATACTACAAGGATCTGCCTTTGGCACTATATTTGTATGATGTTCCAGAGTTTATGCAGTGACTAATTTTCACAAAAAGTTACCAGTACAGACATATTCAAATGTAAATACAAACATTCTCCAAAGGTAAATTTCAGATTTTTAAAAATTATTACCTGTGTTCCTTCATTAGTGTGGGTAGTTGATAGGGACCTCTTTTGGTTTTGGAAATTTTTTTAATTGAATATTAGGATAACTGATGTTCTGGTGAGAACATAGTCCTCAATTTAAAATGTTGTGACCATGGTAACATTCTAAGTTGGTCCTGATTCATCATTAGTTTTCTCATTTTATCCTCTCAGGATTTCTCGTTTTTGGAAAAGGTGGCAGTCTCTCCTTTAATTTAACTTTTTTTTTTTTTTTTAAGATTTTATTGGGGAAGGGGAACAGTTGGGGAATTGCAGAAGGGGAACAGCCAAGTTGTTGTCCTTCATTCAATCTTAAGTTGTGGAGGGCGCTGCTAGCTCAGCTCCAAGTCCAGTCGCCATCCGGCTGCCCGTCGGCAGCTCGCTGCCGCTCAGCTCAAGGTGCCGTGTTCAATCTTAGTTGCAGGTGGGCATAGCCCACCATCCCATTTGGAAGTCGAACTGGAAACCTTGTTGCTAAGAGTGGACGCTCTAACCACTGACCCATCCAGCCGCCCATCAGCAGTTCAGGGCTGCCATGTTCAATCTTAATTGCGAGTGGGTGTAGCCCACCATCCCACGTGGGAGTCGAACCGACAACCTTGTTTTTAGGAGCACATGTTCTTAATCATCTGAGCCATCCTGCCACCTGTTGGCAGCTCAGTGACAGCTCAGCTCGGGCACAGCTCACTGGCCCATATGGGAATCAAACTGGTGACCCTGTAGCTCAGAGCTTGCACTCTTAACCAACTGAACCACTTGGCGGACCCCACTCCTTTAACTCTTAAAATATAATTTTAAATTCATACAAAGGTTGCAGAAATGGAACCCTTCACCCAGAAAATACGTTGCAGACACGATGTGCCATCACCCTGTACCCCTCCTGCATTAAGGAGGATACTTGTGTGATGACCTGAGTGCTCACAGCAGGGCCCTAAAAATCAAGATGTGAGCATGAAGGCGCTATGCTTGTCCAGTCCAGGCACCACCATCAGTTCAGCATCGCATGTTGTCCTTGTCGTGCCTTTCAGTTTGTTAGATTCCTAGTGCATTAACGTTTTTCACTTGGTGAAGATGGCTTCTGCCAGGTCCTCCTGTGTAGGTAATAAGCATGCCGTCGTTATTAGTGAATGGGCGATACAGCAGGATGTGGAACACCCTGTTGTTTGTGAGACTTGCACCCACCAGGCTTAACATCCATTGATGATGCTTGCCCGATCAGTTCCTACTCGATGGTTGCCATGTGGTGGTATTCTGATTCCATCATTCCTTGTACATTTATTTATTTATTGGCATTCTACTTAGAGCTTCCTTCCCCTTCGCTTCTACTTGTTCGTTCATTTGCTTATATCAGTGTGGACCCATGTTCCGTATTATTTTACTCAGTTACCATCTTGTCATTCATCATTTATGTTAATGCTCAGATTGTCCCAGACGCAGCTACTAGAAGTCCTTTTAAGCTGTCTTCTGCATCCTTTTGATAAATCCTCATAATTCTTTAGACATTTTCTTCCTTTGTGGTGCAATGCGACATAACAAGCTTATTTGCATATTTTCTGCTGCAGCCCTGAAGTCAGCCATTTCTCCAAGAAGCTGTGATGCTTTTTAATAAAGAATAGCATTTGTAATCAAGACTGGGCAGTGGGTAAACTCATTGCCACTGGGTGTCATTGCATTTATTTTCTGCCAGCAGAGCCAGGAAATACATGTGTTGAATGTATGAACATCTGTATCTGTATTTATGTTTGAAAAACAAAATAGATCTATGCTCCTCCCCAATTCCAGTCCAGCTCTGCCCTGGCCTTTGCTAGGGCTGCAGCTTCCCTTTCTAGCCATCACAGCTGGCTCCCGGCTGCTGCTTAGCTCACCCTACCTGTAGCCTATGGCTCACCCTTCACCTGCCGGGAGCACCAGCCCAAATCGAGGCCCCTCCAGACACACAACCGAGTCAATTCAAATGACGGCAGCCCTCCTCAGTGTCTATTTTAGAGCCCCAACGTGTGCAGGGGAGGGAAAATGAAACCCACTGATAAAAGAAACACACCAAGTAAATGTAAAGTGAAACTATGGTTAGTGTGATGGTGCAGGGGCTTCAACCTTGTTTTGAGTGCAGTAGGCATCAGGGGTGTTTTCCTGAAGTTAGCGAGGCTGACCTCTTGTACGCCGTGTGGACAGCCAGACTGGTAGTTTCAAAATGCTCAACTAGATTTGTTTCGGAATGCACTTGTCAGCACTTATGGTAAGCCCTGTGTGAAAGCCAGAGTATGTCACATGATAAATGTATCACGGGATAAATCCATACATGTTGAATTACTGAGTAACAGTAGACATCCGAAGATGTTTGTGACGTCTGGTGATACTGGTGATAACATGAGGTTTTCGGTGTGGAGCATACAGTGGATGCAGCAGACGCGGGCCAGGAGTCTGGCCAGAGACAGTGGGCAGTTCAGTCAGTGGCTGTGCTCTAGACAGAAAAGCAGCAGGGGGCCTGAGAGGGCTTCCGAAAGGCCAGACAGCTGGCTGCACAGGGGCCCAGGGCAGTATGCCTGGAGCATCGAGTGCATGATCAAGAAACATGTCTGGAGATACAAATAGGCCATGTTAGGGAGGAAGGGCCTTACAGACATCATGTTACGGCATTTAGACTCTTCCTGAGTCACTGGAGAGGTGGTGAAAGTAGTATCTCAAAGATGAATAGCATCATATTTTCATTTTAGAGAGATCTCTTCAGATACTGTGGAGAAGGATTGGGAAAATGACAGCTAACAGGCTTCAACTTGAAGCTATCCATTGTTGCTAGGCACTCATTCTTCTGTAAGATGGCTGATGGCTCCTATTTTGAATAATTTAAATATGATTTTTAAATATTTAAAGCTTTTTCCAGACTTATGGAGTGTGGTTTTTAAGATTTTTTTTTCCTGTCAGGATCCTCTTGTTCTCCAAAGTTCTTCATAAATGGTTGCTAGATCTGTGCTCTGTACTCCTCGTTCCAGTTCCCATGCCATTTTGATAAGCAGTGTAGTTGAAAAAGCATGAACTGGCCTTTTTGAAGGTGCTTGGCCTCCAAAAGTAACCTGGAAATTTTCGTTTTTAACTTGGAAGTTAATTTTGTTTGGCTAATTATATATAGTATACCCTGACAAGTGCTAAAATAAGTCAGGATCAACAGAGTCAGCCTCGTGGCGATGTCCCCGTTTTGCCATTGAGCAGAATCCTTGATTTATTTTTGCTTCCATCTTCTCAAAAGCCACAGTGAGCACAGATGATACTGGTTTTCATATAGGAGAGAGATCATAGCTATTAATGTTTATTTACAGCAGGAGTACTTCTAAGATACCATGCTTGTTTCAGGAGTTATGTACTGTTTCATGTAATATCATACAGCCACTCTTTACAACAGAAAACCACAAATTTTGTGCAAAGGTGAAATTAATCTTCAAGTGAGAAAGTTGACACATTATAAAATAAATGGGAATAAAGTACTGTCGAAGCAAAATGTTTTTAAAAGCTCATAAAAACTATCCCTATAATCTTCAGTCCTAGAGTCCTAAAGCATTTGTTAGTGGTGGGATGGCAGGCTCTCATGTATTTGTAAGATGAAGATCTGTGAGGCCCTTTATTATTGTCAGAATTGAGAGTATGACAAAAAGCCCAGACCACCACAGGATTTGATGAAAATATTGCACAAAACAGAAAATGTATTCGTTCATTTAGTTTATTAGTAAAATGGTGAGGGTTAAACGATGTACATTTTAGATATTTTAGTGGGCTCTGTTAAAAGCAATCTTGCCTTTAGGAATTTCTTTGAAAATATATTGTCATACATTTTGAGTGATGAATTGAAATAGTCAAAATTTGAGTTGTTTTTAGATCCAGGGGAGACTGACTTAAGTTAAGTAACATTTTATTTTCGTAAAGGAAATGAGTGATGGCAAGACAGTGTTTTTGGTATAACTAAACGTCAAAGCGTGCAATGGAAACCTCCAGAATCCTTGAGACAGAAACAATGTCAAAATCAAAGGAGGACAGGGCTGGGGAGTGTCTGATTACATGAACTTACCCTCCCTCTCAGGCTGCCTAGTAAACATGCATTTAACAGACATCTCCCATCGGATTGTTGGCTCTCCCCAGAACCAGCCCCCATTACTGATACAGTAATGCAGAGCTGTTACGGGGAGAGTTCTAGAAACATTGTGACTGGAGGTGGCGTTTTCAGAGTTCATCTCTTCATCCCCAAAGTAGTTCCTTGAGAGGGTAGGATCTATATATTAATCTAATGTTTGAAAAGAATCAGTCTTTTATACTTTATGGACATAAAAAACTTCAAGTGTTTTGCCTTTGAAATAAACTGCTAAACCAATTTTTAGTGATAACAAAGCACTCATTTGTTTCTAAGTGAAATCTCAGTAATAAGACTGTCATTTGTGTTGTCTTGTTAGGATATAGTTGAGTACATCGGATGTGCTTTTTGTGATGTTCTTAGTAAACTGTAAAAGTCTGTGCAAGCATCCTTGTTTTGGTAATGGCTATTTGTAAATCTTTCAGAATATTCTGAGGAAAGGAGGCCATACTGAAATTGAACCTCAGCATTTCTGTGAAGCTTTTCAGAGAGAGAACGACACACTAATGGTCATCATCAGAAATGAAGATATCTCCTCATATTTGCATCAAGTAGGTTTGGAAATATCTTTCTTACAAAGAAATGTATTCCAGTTATTACATGATTGTCAGCCTTGTCACTGCCTTTATTTAGGGAAGAAATTAAAACATGTTATCTCCGAATCTAACGAAAGATAATGGGGTTGAGATAATGTGCAATAGGATACTATATTACCAAGGTATTCATAGGACAAAATGTTTCAGAGTTTAATCTTACTTTAGAAGGATTTGTGAATATTTACCTATTAGTTGAATACATGTAATTGTTTCTGCCAAGAAAATTGAACTTACAGGCTTAGGTTGGGTGTACAGTCCTGCTGTTGGGAGGTCGTTAACAGCACCGACACAGGTAAAGCTGGAGAAGGGGATGATGGTGTGAACTTGTTAACCTGTCTGATTACAAGTACAAGTACCCCCAAACCTCAGGTACACTGTTCCCTCATTATCTCCAACCCTTGGAATTATAGAGACCTTTGTAATTAATATTTTTAATGAGTTTCTAGCATTGGTGATGAACTGAGTTAATATCCCTCATGTGTGGCAGAGTTACCCATCAGTTATCAGGGTTCAAGGTATTTTCAGCTGTTCCTGGATCTTGAAAATCCCAGATAAAAGTGACAAAAGCGACCCAGTGAGCCTGTCTTCATTGGGGGATCCTTTTATGTTTAACAGATTCCTTCTTTGCTGAAGCTGAAGCACTTTCCCAGTGTCACCTTCGCTGGAGTGGACAGCCCTGAGGATGTTCTCAATTACACCTACCAAGAGTTGTTCCGGACAGGAGGCTTTGTGGTGTCAGATGACAGAATATTAGAAACGTTAACGTTAGGTTGGTCTTTTAATTTCCTTTCTTTGAAATCTGGTCAAATCAATTTCTTCTCACCCCAAATCATGTCCATCTCCACCTCTTGAGGGCTTACTTTTTGCCACATGCTTCTAAACCCTTTGTACAATTCTCACTCCCAGTGTGCTCGCTCTTAACCTCTCGTTCTGCTTATCTTCATCCCCAACCCTGCTCCCAAGTCCCTTCTCTTAGGAGTGCCTACACGAGTCACACAAATTTGAGATTTTGTTGTTTTTGACTTCATCACTTGCCAAATTCAAGTCAGCAAGTCAGCCCCCTTTTCCATGTCTGTTGATGCCATGGAAACCTACAATGGCTACTAAAAGTCTTCTGAATTCCCTGCTTGAACATATGTATACAGTTGACCCCTGAAGAACACGGGTCTGAAATCTGTGCATCCACTTATACTTGATCTGAGCTGTTGAAGGGTCAGCTGCAGGTCGGGAATCTGTGTATGTGGGGGACCTACTTAAGTCATGTGGATGTCGGCTGCACGGACAGCCAATGCCCCTAACCCCATGTTGTTCAAAGGTCAGCTGTGTGATTCACTCTTTTCCAAATGTCAGCACAGGGCAGACACTGTGTATGGATGACCAAAGCCTGCCCTAGCTCAGGTAACACTTGTGGGTCAGAAAGAGGAGGATATACCTTAACAAGCACAATTCTGTGCTTAGAAACCTAGACATTCACTGTTACAACAGGACCTCCTGTGTGATGTCTGTGCTGCTGCGTTCGAAAGTCTCATTGCTAGGTGCCACAGTGCCGTCCTCAGCAGCTCTCTGCTGCTGCTGCAGCTGTACGTTTGCAGTGCAGGGTTGTGAGCCTGCCCAGCCACACATGGCACTGATGATACACACTCTAACACAGGGTCTTAGTTTTACTAGAAGTAATTAATTGCTGGGCTTTGAGTAGACAAGCCAAAAATCTTAAAACAGAACTTATTCTATTCTGTAGTTCAACTGAAGGAAATTGTCAAAACCCTGGAGAAACTAAATGGAAATGGAAGGTGGAAGTGGTTGCTTCACTATAAGGAAAATAAAAAGCTAAAAGAAGATGTAAGGTAAGGCTTTTGTGTGAGGGTTCTTCTATTCCTCTTTGACGGGGTGGGAATACCATGCAATGCACCCTGAAACCCTGTGTGCTCTGGACGGTCCTCCAGCCTGTACTACGGTGGAAACCACCTACGTCACTGAACACAGCTCTGCCTTAGGCCTGCTGACTGCTATTGGATTTTGGTTTTATAGTAGGGCTTTCAATGAAGCAAGCGAAGTAAAGAAATCAGATATGGGGGTCCTAAAATATCCATAGAGTTAAGTTCAGGCTCCATCCACTACCATCAACTGTAAAAAATAAATGGGCTGCCACATCAGTACTTATTAAGTCATCACATTTCTAAGTAGGACGGAAAAAATGGAGATGAGAAATCATCCTGAATTGAATTTTACCCTTAAACAAGAGACTATCAATAGGCAAACCTCCTTAGATGTACAGCTGGGACCTTTAAAAGGAGAATATTTTTTTGATTTCCTTGGCTGAAGGGCCCCCGGGGGTGGCTCTTCCATATTAAACATGTGCCTCCAGGTTCTAGGCAGAGTGGAAACAGGGTCTGGATCTCAAAGCTGGACTTGGAAAGGATAGATTTGACAAGCCATTTGTTTGTTAAATGACTATATCAGGCACTGGTGGGTGCTGTACACCACTCATGGCATTCTAAATTCATGGAGGAGAGACAGTAAACACCCTACTCTAATGTATTAATGTGGAAATGGAAGCACAAGAGGACAACAGACCTGACCCAGGGCAGACAGTAGGTTGTGAGGCTAGGCTTCCACCCCACAATGTACATCACTAAAATGACAGTTATTGGGATTCACCTACTGCTTTCTCCAAAGGCCAACAAACCTAAGTGTGAAAACAGCTGAAGCTGTGGAAGTACTTGAGCTCCTGAAAGGAAAGATGGCTTAGAAGTTCAGGAACTTCTTGTACTTAGAAGAGGTGCGAGGACAGGAGGACAGCCAAGAGCTGACAGGGTCCAAGGCTGTGAGCATGAGTCCACAAAGAATGAGTTAGCCAGCACTTCAGAAAAAGTTCCACTTCAGGAATAAGGAGAGAAGCAAACGAAGCCTGAGATGCCACAGCACACCTGTGAAATTACTGAGGATGAATGAGTGCAGCACTCAAAGGACTGTGGGTACACAGAAATATATCACTATCACACTGTAATATGCTCTTCAAATTATACCAGTCTGACATAATGAAAGTACATCAGAAAACTCATCATATCCTTTGATCTTTTTAATAAATTAAAAAAAACCCAAAAACCTAGCTTTTAAAAACCATTATTTCTACAAAGCTGTTTATAGCCATGGGTGGTTTTCAGTAACTACAAAACCAGCCTCAACTCCATTTTTAGGCAAATATAAGAAATAATGCCCCACAAAACTTGACACAGGAAGTAGAAGCGTACAGTTTCTATTTACAGTAATAAGGAACATAGAAAAGTTGGTATCTTAAAACTATGTACAGTGTGATGCCAACCATAAATTGGTATGTACAAAAGATAAAGCCTGGAAGGAAATTCATTGTCATGTGGATCGTGCTTGTCTAGAGTGGGAGGGTAGGGGGTGGGGGGGTAGTATGTAGGATTTAGTTTTCTCCAGCAAACAGGACAGAGGCATGTGAGTGACGGACAGGACTGGAGGGATGGAATCAAGACCAAAGGTAGAAATGGTTAAGTTAAAATTTTCCTCTAAAATAGGATGGAAAAAAGTAACAAGATTTAAAGGAAGGTGAGAAATTAAGGAAAATCTAGCTGTCCCATAATTGTAATGAGAAGTACAGAAAAGAGGTTTTAGCAGAGATTTGGAACCATTGCTATATAATAAATAATGCAGTAAGGGGTCCAGTGGAAATTCATCAAAGGCTTGCCTAGTGACATTGTTGGATGTGGTAGTAGATGTTGGAATGAGGACCATATTTTTTTTTTAATCTATTTTTAAAATTCGCTTGTGATGTTTTGAGGGAATGTGACAGGGCAGCGGCATCTAGGAAGACAAGTGTTGTAAAAAAAACAAAGGGGATGGGCCAGCCGAGTGGCACATTGGTTAAGAGTTGGCTTGGAACACCAGCTCTGAGCGGCAGAGCCGGGTTCGGATCCCACATTAGGGCCAGTGACGCTGCACCCTCTACAGCTAAGATGGTGAACAACAGCTCCACTTGGAGCTGGGGTGCCATGAGTCGCCGGCGACAGCGTAGGCTGCAGTGGGACTGGACGGAAGCTGGTGTGAGCTTTCATGAGCTGCTGTGAGGCGCCATGAGCAGCCGTCCAATGGTCGGCAAGCGACTGTCTTACCCGGGAAGAGCACAATAATACCAACATGCGCCAGTGAAGCAACGTCCTCCACTAGACTGAAGAACAAAAGGACAGCAACTTGTCTGTTCCCCTCCCTCAATTCCCCAATAAAATCTTTTAAAACAACAACAAAAAAAAACAAAGGGGACAGAAGGGGTTAAACTAGGAGTATAAGTATAGTGAAGGAAGGAAAAGATCTAAAAATAAAACTGAAGATTAAGATAGTTAAAAAACAACTCTTTCACTGAATCTAAATTTAACATTTCTACATATTTTCCAGAGTGGATTCAATTGCACATAAGAAGGACTTAATATTGAAGTCATATCAGAGTGCAAATATCATTGAATTGCTTTATTACCACCAGTGTGACTCTCGCTCATCAACAAAAGCAGAACATTTGAAATGTTTGCTAAATCTGCAAATTCAGCATATCCACACCAGGTTTGCTGTCTTCCTAACGGGTACGTCACAGCCTTGATTCTGTCTCATTTTCATCCAACGCCAAAAATAGGTCAGCTCTAGAAATGTCCTTCCAAGTGGGGTCACTGGGTCTTGAGATGTGCGTGGCAGTAGCCACACTAGCCGTTAGCCTGGTGTTTCCCGAGTGCACATATGGCCGGGTGTGGGGGACGGTGGGTTTTGTTCAGTAAATAGCCCTTCATCGTCTCCTACAAGTACTTAATTTTATATTTAGCTCTAATGTTTTATGTGCATCTTATCCAAACCTTTAAAATTATTATGACTATAGTTGTCATTCCTCAGTGGTTTTCAGCATCCCTCCTACTCCCCAGGGAGGGGGCTGCTCCAAAAGCTTCAAATGTTTTTCTGCCCACATGTACTAGGGAGTTTCAGAAGATTGTGCTACTTTTAAAAATGTACATTAATATGCTGAATAAGTATGATGTACACCTGAAATGTCAACTGTACTTTTTTAAAGAACGTTAATGAGTTTTTCACCAAAAAGTTATTTTTCTTTTTACAGAAAAGCCTACTCTCTTCAGAGAAGTCTTTGAAAATAGTGGCATCCTTGTTACAGATGTAAACAACTTTATTGGAAATATACAAAAAGTAGCAGCTCCATTTAGGAGTAGCTATTGGTAAGAACACTTTCTGTAACTCCCATGTCAGCTGGAATTAAAGAAGATACTGACTGACATTCTCGTCTATGAGGGACCCAGTTCCAAAGCTGTAAATTGAAAATATCTGTTTAGGGGCGGATGTTGTGAAGTTTCACTGATCAAACTGCCAGCCTCCTTTCAATATCCATTGTATCTAAATATGCGTTTTCACCTGCACTTCATCCTGCTCTTCAAGACAAAAGGTTACACATGTATAACAGTTTTCCGTTTACCCTATTTATAATTTTTGGTTATTCTGTTGTAAAAATGGAATTATCAATTTTACATGGTTCAACTACAGCTTGCCTAGACATTGATGCCAACAAATTTGTATTTTCCCTTTTCTTGAAAAACTTTGATTTTTTTTTTTTAAATGAGAACTTGTGTATCAAAGTTCTACAACTTGGGAGAAAGTGTTCCTTTCACTTTTTTTATGTTTTGTTAAAATGCCTGACTTCGTCACAGGTGACAACATTAGTTGTCCAGTAACTTTCGGTTGCAGTGTTAAATATTACTTTGTTTTAAATTATTTTCATTTTAAACAATGTCTTCAAAGGTATTAATTGAACTAAAGGCATAGGAGATGCATGTTAGAGTGTTTTTAAAGGTTTTACCACCTTTATAAAAAATGTAACCTTATTTGATGTTATTCATGCAACACTACATAAAGTGAAACTTTTTCCCTAAATGGTACAAATTGATACTGAAACAGTACACTACAAAACCAACTCTGAGGCAGTAATAATTGCTTATTTATGGTATTACACTAGAAACAATTTCTACAGTTATCTGTAAAACTCAAAACCAAGCAAAGACATTTGTAAGATCCATACTATCTATTTGGAACAAAGGTTTTTATAATGTTTCAGTTTTAAATAAAAACTAAAAAAAACCAACTTTCTGCAATGACTTTATAGCAGAAATTGGGGACACAATTTCTTAGCAGTTTTTAGGCCACTTAGCAGAAATAGGTTCGAGGAATCCTACCACTTCTATCACTTTGGCCTTGACCAATCAGTCCAGTTCTCATAGACCTGCTTAGTGCTTTTCCCTCCCAGAGTCATGCACAGAAGGAGCAAGAAAGAGAAAGAACATTCACGGCACTTTTTACTGGCCCTTCCGTGTTAGATCTGTACAGAAATTTCTTTCGAAAGCCATTCATCTGCTTTGTGTGTTGTTTTCTCAGGAGGAGGAATAATAGAGTGTTAATTTGACACTAGCTTTTGTTTGGAAACCCATTATATATTTACCCCAGGGATAAGAATCTAATAAGAGGACCATAACCATATTTGGTACTGAATTGATCTGAAATTACTTAGGAAAAGGAAACTAACATTCATTGAGCACCTGCTACCACCTGCCAGGTGCTGTGTGCCCAATATACTCATCTTTCAAGTGTTCATCTCCCCCTTCTGCCTTCCAGCACCAACCCACAAGGCCATCTTTGTTTCCAGACCACCTTCCTATTAACTGTTTTAACACTTAACCAAGCCTTAGAATAATGGGTCTAATCTAGACTGAGCTCTTCCAGAAATTGTGGCCTGGCACATAAGTAGTTGAATGAGGATTATGCAAACAAAAGTCCTGGTATTTTTTCTTTCTACTATTACTAATCCAGCTTGTGCATGTGTCTGCATTACTAGTTCACAATTTAAAGTATAGTGAAGGAAAGGCTTGCTGGAATTTGAGATAACCATGTAGATAAAGTAGTGGTTCTCATCAGGGGCGATTTTGTGCTCTGGGGGATGTTATAATATCTGGAGACGTTTTCAGTTCTCAGGCTAGGTAAGTGGTACTGGCATCTAGTGGCTAAATGCCTGAGATGCTGTTAAACATCCTACAATGCACAGGACAACCCCACAGCAAAGAATTATCTGGCCCAACAACTGTAGTGTAAGACTGAGTAACAATCTAAGTGATTATTACCCCAATTCAGTTATATGTCCTTCAGACTTTTCACCCTAAAAGAATATACTCACGATGTCCATATTCATCTGAGGTAAATGACAGCATGTGCAGTGAGGCCTCTAACTATCAAGGGGGAAGGAGATACCACTTAAAAATGATTTCCAACTACAACTTAACAACAATTCACTTGCTCTTGTAACTGTTGCTATAAGCAAAATCAGCAAAGGCAATAAGTTGCATTTGTATGGAAAATACTTGTTCTAAACCACTACTAAGAATGTATGAGTCTCATGGTTACCTGTGTCAAGAATATAATTTAGGGTCTACTCACAGTGAAGCCAGGTGACAGGGACTCTCTCCATCCACATCTGAACCCACGTGTGGCCAGTAACTGGGCACTCCTCTCCTCCCGCATCTCTCCTAGCATCAATTTTAGCTCTACTGAAGGAAATAAACAGCTGTCATGGCCAGCACAACACTCACAGCTCCTGAACATCAGGACACAAACAGACCAAGCGAGAGGGAACTGGTTTCCAGAGTTTGGCTTTATTTTGCAGTACAGACATCATTGGAGCCATTTGGACACAGACATTGAACTAGAGGCTCTTGTCAAATCAATACCGCATTGTAGCTTGGTCCATGGAAGAAGCCACACCCGGGACAAAAGAAGCTTCTACATTTACCTGCTTTAGGATAGCTTTCGTTTCCTTTGCTCTTGTCAATTAGGTTAAAACACTGCACACAGGCTTCCTCCAAAATGACTGAAAGTCTGGAGTTTGGTTAGAATTTTAGGCCCATAAACCAAACTTGTGGCTGTGCTACATGGGCACTGTCATAATACCTGACAGGACACAAAATGGAAAGCTGTAGGGAAAACTTAGGGATGCTGTCCCAAATTCTGGAATATTCAATTTCCAATCTTAATGTTGAAGAAAGATGGCACGCAAACTACTGATCCAGCTCTGGGGCAGCAGAAGCACGTAACTGCAACAGCTACATGGATTAAAAGATACAAATGCTGTATCAAGTTCTCTGTACTGGTATCACATCTTTTCAAACTTCACTAGAAAAAAAGCCAGCATTGGTTAAACTGTCCAGAGTGTGGTCACCTGCCAGTTCTGAATAGCCACTCCATGAAAACAAGTTAATACATGATATTAGAAAGGGGAGGAATATTTATGGTGCAGTGCTCTGCAGTCTGTTTTGATTACAAATGCAGGCCTTACAATACTGATTTCATACAATATGAATCATCTGCCAAATTTTGTTTGTCCTAATTGGGTGATAACATGTACTGCTGTTAGTCTTCCCCATAGATGTCATTTTTCTTGCGCTTCATTTCCTCAAAATCAAACTCTGATCCTGTCATCCTCTTATAGATGTCTTTAATGTCATCACAGGTTGTCTCAAAGTGAGTTGTAGCATCATATGTACGGGAAATAAAGATCTGGAAATAAAAATTAGAAAGACTTAGGACTATTTAGGGAAGTCGCCCAACAAAGCCTGATAATACCCTTTCCAGACTGCCACACTCACCTGGCTCTCTGTCCCCAAATCTTTTGGTACAAGCAGGTCACTGATGCTAACAAATCTGGAAGAGAAAAAGAACTCAGTGAACAGGTGAGCTGACCCCACACCCACTCACTGCACTGCCTGAAACTCAAAAGCCCAAAGGATGAGGCTGGTGGAGATATGGCTGCTTTAATTGTACTCATGGGGTTAGCCCGAGCATGGAGCCAGAGTCAATCTTGGATTTTATTAATAGCTCGTATACACAGCATGTCACTTACTTCTGTTCAATTGGTTCCAAGAGCTCCAAAGCTGGTCCGATCTCCTTCTCAGGCTCCTTGGTCTCCACAGTTGTGCTGACTATGGCGATGTACTTGCCTTGTGCTGCCACGTTGTGTGCAAAGGAGATCATGCAGACGTAGATATCTGGGGACAATAATGCCACCTCACTGCTGATGTTTGTACACTTGGGCGTGTGTGTGCACTCAGGGCTCACCCACATTTCATTGAGGTGGAGTTAAAATTACTTGGAATAGACAATACCTTCTAACCTTAAGTTAGTTCTATGTATATGGAGACGAACAGGGCCATACACAGAATATGCAACTACTCAGCTACTTTCAGCCTAGTGGAGATCAAGAATTCACTGGCAATGACCTGCCAGACTTGCTCAGAACACTGACATTGGCCTCCAGTTAAGCAAAATCATCTAACGTATTTTGTAATAAACTGTTGAGTATCTCATGTCATTTATTCAATACTGTACTGAAAGAAAAAACAGAATGGCTATATGCTAATTTTGCACCATCTTAAAAATCATAAGTCAAACCATCGTATGCTGGGGACCTTCTGTACTGATTTCTCATTTATTTAAGTAATATAGTATAATTAAAAATCAGTATAAGCTATTCTTGAGTTGCCATAAGAAACTCATAATTCCATAGGATCTACTTGTCTGTATACACTAAGTAACTATTGGGTTCCATTGTCCTCTTTGCATACTTTCACAAAACCAGGGTTCTGCTGAAAGATTACTTTAGTCCAAGTCCCTTTGGTCTAGTAATAATCTGTGACTTGGTTTCCTATATGGAAAGAAAAATTAATACAGATAGCTCTTAACTGTCCATTTAAAAGCCGATAACCCGTTAAATTGAATTTCTGATAAAAGATTTAGGGCTTCTAACTGAAAGGAAGATAGAAAAAGCTAGTGGATGAAAACAACTGCTTAAAGCAAAGATTAGGAATTACGATTTTAGAGCTAAATCCTGATCTTAATCAGAGAAATTTAAGTTGTGTTCTATATAGCACACTGGTAAAATCAAATGTTAAGTATTGACAAATAATGACATAAAAGCAGCATTGTCATCAACTCAAAATAGTGGCAGGTAAGCATAAACCTCCACAGGCACATAATTTTCAAACAGGAGAGAGTGGACTGCTCATCTTAGTTCAGCCTCTTAATTCTACGGATGGGGAACCAGAGTCCCAAGCAATGGCTACAGGCCTGGGGCACGACTCCCAGGGTAGTTAATCCATTTCATGTGATGATTTAGGATCTCTGAGCTGAAAGGGATCCATTACGTTTTGTTTCCCATGTATAAACTCAAGCTTCTTCACTATAATAGAGCAGATAGAATTAGGAATTTGGAATGAAACACAAAGCAAATTATTTCTAACAAAATTCTACAAACATGCTGATTTTCAAAGCCCACCTGACTTCCGGTTGACCTGGTTCTGTGGGATAATGATCTGGCAGGAGTTGGCGTCACTGGTGTTCTTGATGGGGTGGCTGAGGATACAGATAACTCGGATCACCTGACCCACTTTTTCTACCCGATCCTTCACATAGCTGGGGTCACAGATGAGCTGCTTACAGCGAGCAATCTGTAACGAAACATTTAAAGACTAACACTCAGTGTCCGCGATGATTTTAGACACTATATGCCGTTGTCTCTTGACTATAATGTTAACTTCATCAAGTTAACCTGTAGATAATCACTGAACTACAGATTACCTTTGTCAATAATCCCTATAAATTTTACTGGAACGGTGGGACAGATCCATTAATTCTAAATCCTATTCAAATATTAGGAAAACTGTTGCATAGTGATAAGAAGTGTAAATTTTTGAACTGGGCAGATCAGGGTTCAAATCCTGGCCCTGCCCAATCTCAAAGGATTAAAATGAAACTACATTTAGGGCTGTCATTATATAAGGTCTGACAATTAAGTTCACGAACTTGATACAATGATGTTGCGAACTTGATGCAATGATGTTGCTAACTTTTTTTGTATTAAAGGGATTATTCATTATGACTTTGCACCAACTGGACAAACAATTACCGTATTTCCCCATGTATAAGACACACCCTTTTTAGAAAAATTTGGGGTCTAAAAACTGGGTGCAACTTACACAGTGGTTGCAGATTTTTTTACTTGCTTTTCCCATTTTTTCACGCTTGTTGTCTTTGTGCTCATTG